TTTTTAGCATAATTATATTTTTTATTCTATAAATTTAAATTTATTTAAATTTATAGAATAAAAAATATTTAAAAATTTAAAATTTAAGGTTTAAAATTTTTTTATTTAATAAAAATTTTGCAACAATAATTTTTTTAAGAATTTGAAATGTTGCGTTCACTGGTGATCTCCACAAATTAATTAAGTTATATCAAATGCTTACTTTATAATTACACGTTTAGAACTTTATTGATATTTTTGAAGCTATCATTTCTCTAAATATCAATTCATTTTAAATATATATATGTACATAGGTTGCTGTAATTGCAACATATTGTATATATAGGAAACTATTTTCGTCCTAAGTTAATGATTTGAAATAATTCGTAATTCTGAATGCTCTTAAGGTTGCATAATTGTAGATTGATATATTCCAAGGGCATCTTGGCTATCGACTCCTGGCAGAGAAGTCGGTAAGTCGTTAACCGAGTTTCCTTTATTATGTGGAGGTACAGCGGCGGCAAGCCAATCATAACCTCCAAAGCAGCGGTAGGAGCCGTACACATTGCCCCAGTTACTCTTAGGCAGGCCATCCTCTGAAACTTCTGCAGCTTTTTCTGTTCATTCTTCTGCCGAGCCCTACACCACGCTACAGTGCTATCCCAGGACTAATGCCCCAGGTCTTGCGAATAAAACTTCTACATGTCCATAAGGCCATTGTAGCCCTGCCGATGAGTTTGTCTATATGGCTATTCCAAGAGAGGTGATTACCAAAGTAATCCCAGGTATTTCACATCTCTAGAATAGATAATACGTTCACCAAACAGAATTGGGCTGGACTTATATTGGACTTATATTGAACTCCCGCATTCACTCCACCTTTGCACAACACGCAGATTTCGCTGTAAAAGGTCGAAAATCGTGCTCTCAAATTACTGCTACAAAAAAGCTACATACGAGTAACATCCGACTAACCCATCTACTCGTCGTCGCATGCAATACTACGTTTGTGCAACGACTTGGGTACGACATGATATGAACTGTTATCAAATGCACCTTCGCTTATTTGCCTTCGGAATGTATGTTACCTTCGCCAATATTCACGCTGGAAAAATATTACCCCATGCGTAGCTCGCACGAAAGATTTCCGACAACGCCCTAGTGATGTTTTTAAAAACCCTCCGCAAAAACGCAGAATATATCCCAAAAATTTGGAAGACCTGAAAGAGCAAACCGCCCATCGTGAAAACCGAGCAGAACCGTTGCCAGCCATCACTCCCGGGCCGAGATGCCCTAGGTTTAATGACTGCACCTGAGCAATTTCGAAGAATCCTCGAGTCAGGAAAGTGCGTTGAGGCCATCCGCTCCAACGTTTGCTCTCCGTCCTCTGTCATAGCGTCACCAGGTCTTTCCATTAGGTCTAACCTGCTAGTATATTTTCTGGAAAGTACTTTGTGAAGACGTGCACTGCTTGGAAGCTCATCTGCGCCGCAAAACACCCTCCATGAGGGCATCAGTCATAGTCATCGTCAGGGCCACGGTGGTTAGTTCAATATCCACCATGGTCCTGACAGAAGAAGGCACGGAATCGACCACATCCATGGGGAGCGTTTCAAATTGACTCCTACATTTATTGACTGAACTTCTTTAAATTTAGTATTTGAGTTCTGTTTGCAACCAAAAGTAAATTATCAAATTTATTTGACAAAATTTATTAAAATTTTAATTAAAAATTTATATTTTTGTAGAACTTCATTTGGATGTTTAAAAAAATCATTGCTTATCAGATTTATTTCCTCAGTTCAAAAGAAATTAAAAAATATTAGACGTGTTCTTATACCAATTGTGTTTTTTGCTTTGTTTCATGCAAATATTCCAAAATCATCAAAGTTTTATAATAGAAAAAAATCATTTGCAAAATGTATGCCATATATATCTACCAGGTCACTCAGAGAGTAACTCAAAATAAATTCCAAATTTATATGGAATTTAAATAGAAGGGGTGTTGGAATTTATTGGTGTGAAGGAAATTGATTAGTATTTTTAGAAGAGAAGAAAGTCAGCTTTGATAAAGTTTATATTAGCAAAAATAAAAAAAGTGTTTTATTCCGAATAAAAGGAAGTTTTCTTTTCATACCAATAAAAATAAAAAAATAGTATTTTTAGCTCTACTGATTCTACATTTTTTGTATATTCTGTCTTCGTGAAGGGTATATTCATTTAGGTATGGAGTTTCCAACAACTTGAAGCAGTCGTCTCCGTATGAACATGCATATGTATTCTTGCGTTTATTTAGCCATGTCAATCCGTCTGTCCGATCAAAAACGAATAACGCAATCGACACTAAACTTTCACAAGTTGTTTCTTTTCTGTCAAGGACGGCTGCTATTGTAATTGGGATTGTAATTGATTCGGACAACGGGTTCAGGTAGCTGCCATAAAACTCCAAAAGCTAATTTTAAATATTTGGGAAAATAATAAAGTCAGTGTGTCATAAAGAGTGATTAGATAGGTTCGAATGATTGGTTCGATTGATTTTTAGGCTCAGATTCTGTAGGTGCAGGGTATAATTCGGTCGGTTGATACCGGTAAGAACATATGTTCGAAGGGTATACTAAATTTGCCTTACCGTTTGTAACGCTAAGAAATAATGGTCTGAGACACAGACTCAAGTGTTTGTTTTCGATCAGCGTCGAATTCTGAGTCGATTTAGTTTTGTCTATCCGTCTGTTCGTCTGTCTGACCATTGATAACTCAAAAACTAATTGAGCTAAGTTCACCAGATTGTCACGAATGATTTATTGTAGTAAATTCCAGAATTCTATTTGAATTGGGTATGATCGGGGTACTGGTTTGGGTAGCTGCCATAAAACTTCAAAATTTATTTGACTATATCTTAGAAACCATAAAACCTCTGGCATTGAAATTTCGCACAAACAAATATACGTATTAGTAATGCAAATGTGTTTGATAAAATTCGTTGAAATTGCTTGGATCTTTCTGGTAGCTGCCATACGACTTCAATATTAGTTTGGCTATATCTTAGGAAATATTGAAAAATTACCCAGTACTGAAATTTTGCGTAAATGAAATGTTTAATATGGTAATACGACAAGTTAATATAACTTAATGGTAATACAGTCAACTCTATTATTTTCCTACGGTTGTCTAGGCTAACTCTTTCTAGATCTTTTTTGCAGGTAAAAGCTCTTTAAAATTGAGCCACTCAGTCCCAGTCACTAAACATAAAACTATTGAACTTTCCTTAATTATCAAAAATATGGTGTTGATTAAAGTAACATTTTACTTCAATCACAAAATCTATAGTTCTTTAAAAGTTTTATTTATTCTGCTAACATTGCATATAATTACGAAATTTTCTGACTGCTAATAAGTAGTTGCTAAATTATTTTAACTGTTTAAAAACTGGAACTAGCCCACACGTTTATAGTTATTCACTAGTCATTTTATTGATTTGCTAAAGCCATAAAATGACTTGTGAATTAATTAAAAACTTTCAAAAACATCACCAATATTTAAAATCCGCCGATTTGGCGACAAAAATATATTATTCAAATTTTAAATCTGCATATAGTATAAATTACGAAACAACATTTTTTGCGGCTACTAATGCTAAATCCAAGCAAACATGGGACTTTGTTGCAAAAAGTTTTTGTGTTCCAAGTACAGGGTTTTGATACATTTCATTATATACAAATGTAGGATTTTGATCAGCGATTTTTTAATAAATGTTTTTTAGTGAAATAACTTTAGCAACATGTTTATGTTAGGAATATGAGTATTTGGATTTTGTTTCTATGATCTATATATATGTGCTACTGTTAAATGTGTTAAAAATACTTGTGTAAAAATAAGGAATGTACTTATTGATTTTGCTCTGTTAGTTCGATCGTTGATTGCTTGAACGTAGCTTAAACATAGGCTAACGTAGAAAAATAGGGGCTTGCTTTTTCTATTGTTTCACATTTCCTATTTGGCAAACATTGCAAGGATAATGTTAATAGTCATACCTGTTTTTGTTTTTAAATAAATAAAAATATTCTTATACAAATCTAAGATTTTATCCGTTTTATCCGTATCCGATATTATTTATTGGCTTAAAATATTTATTAATTTATTTTTTCAATTCTCTCAAAACTATTCCGTCTCATAATCTGCGAAATTTTAATTTTCAGCTACTTATTTTTCTGGAACTAACCTAACCTTTTTCGAATTTTCACGAAAGACTCTAAACTCGCCTAATTAGACACCAAACTCAGCATTATGTCATTAACATTAGTCATTTAACATTAATATACCTATCATTATTCTTTTATTCCGAAAGTAGGGAATGACAATGACATATTTTCGAATATCAACGAAAATAATGAAAATAAAATTTTAAATATTTTGAACAAAAACAAAACTTAAGCACTTTCTAAAAAAAGAGGAAAAACTTTCCTTTAGTACTATAGAGAGTATTTTAGAAAAAATGGAATTATCTTTTTCGAATTAAAGAAATCTTTTTCCTTTTTCTAAAAAGTGTTTTTGTTGTCATTTGTTTAAGGTATGGAAGACTATAGTTTTTGCTTAAGGAGTAATTTAGAGGTACTGTTATAAATTGCTTATATGACCGAGTTGAATTAAAGTTAAAATTCTGTATCTCAGCTTAGTTTATTCAGTTTGTCACGACGTATGTAGCTTATTCAAAAATTTGGTCGATCGTCGGTTGCTAACGCACTTATTTGAGAAGGCAAAGAGCTGACGACTTAAAATTTGACATTTGATAAACTCCCGGTAAGCGCTTTAAAAAAACCAAAAATATGTGGTTATGGCATGTTTTTTTCTTGAAGTTATCTCTAAAATGTGAAACGGTAACCGATTTCAATTACAATATTATTTTGTTGGCTACCCATGTTTTACACAATTTTTTTCAGTTCAATGCTATAATAAAAGCTTATACATAAGTTCAATCAAATTAAATTTTATTTTAAATGATAAATTAATTTTGATAATTGTAGGAAATCTTTTAGTAATATTAGTTGTAACATTATCAAGAAGACTACGTTCGATAACGAATTTTTTTCTGGCAAATTTAGCTGTTGCAGACTTCTGTGTTGGTGTGTTTTGTGTCATGCAAAATTTGACAATTTACTTAATAGACAGGTAAATTTATATAAGCAAAAACATGTTTTGCGTATATATTTTAATTAATTTTTTTTCTTTTTTAAATAGTTGGGTTTTTGGAAAGTTTCTTTGTAAAATGTATCAATTCGTTCACTCACTTAGTTATACGGCGTCAATTTTTATTTTAGTTGTTATATGCATGGAACGGTATTTTGCTATTATACATCCTATTACATGTAAACAAATATTAACACCATCAAGGTTAAGAGTAAGTTACATATATTATCGTTTATCTTTTAATATATATTGAAATTCTTTTTGAATATTAAATATAAATTTTAATCATAAATTTAAAACTTTATTTTTACCGACCGTATTGTGTATACAATAGGTAGGTTATGTGATGGCAACAAATTTTGCATATCGAGTTTTCGGTGGGACTTCTCCATAGTAGGGAAGTGTAAACAAACTATTTTTAGCAACCTGTCGGTCTGTCGGTTAGTCGGTCTGTAAGTCTGTCGGGCTGTCGGTCTGTCGGTCTGTGTGTGTACGCATGTATCTCAAGTTCTGCTGAACCGATTTTGATGAAATTTTATATGTAAGTTTATTTCCACCATGGCACGGTTTGATCAACTTTTGGGATATATCAGGCCTCGGGAACTGCACTTTTTAGCGGGCCTGTTTTACATTTTTGAAGAAAATATTCAACCGATTTTCTTGAAATTTCATATATAAGCTTTGCTCGACTGTCCGCAAAAATTCCTAACTTTTAGAAGAAATCAGGCATCAGCACCTGGACGTTTACTACGGGCCAAATATACATTTTTGTGTAAATAAAGAGAAATAATCAACCGATTTCATTGAAGTTTAATATTTAAATTCCTCGTATTAAAACAATGAACATATAGATTTTTTGGAAAGATCAGGAGTCGAAAACTGATTTGCGGCCGATTTTACATTTTTCACCACATCTACGGAATGAATTGATGGAATTTCTTGAAATTTGATATTTGAGTTCTGGTTGTTACCGAAACTAACTCTCGAGCATTTCAGGGAACTCGGGTAGCACAAAGCGAAACTCTAGTAAGAGCCAAATTTACATTTTTCTAGGTATGTTAACTATAAGCTTACTAATGTCCTAAAAATTGGAAAGAAGTATTTAACAGACATTCTTATAATACTTTGTAACACTTTTACTTAACTAGACAACACACATTGGGGTCGGTAATGTGCTGACCACATCACATTTTTTGTAAGTACATTTATAACGAAAATAAATGCACTCTGTGTGAAATATGAACTGTATTCTAGTATTTTTGATGACGAGTATTCTTAAGGGACGAATAGAATCACTTACGACTACACCTTGTAATTTAGTCCTTCAGTTCAGTGAACAGATTGTGTCTTTATATATTTAAAATTTACTGACATTTGTTACTGTCAGTATAAAATTAAGCATTAGCAAATGTTCTGTTATCGAACCAGGTATGCTTCAAAATCTAATCAGTTTCTTAGGTTCCAGACAAAATTCAAGTACACATTTATTTCCTTTAAATTAGCTTAGAGTAGCTCAGAGAAATAAAGACATTGAAAAATATTAATTATTTTCTGATGAAAAGTCTATTTTCGTTGAAAAGCTTACATCTGAAACCATTGGTTTGATTAAAGGTTATTCTTTATAAATCCCATATCTTGACAGAAAAATAATGATTAATAAAATAAATTTAAATTGAATTTTTTCAAAATACACTTAATTATATTAGTTGATTTTAGAAATCTTCTATCAAAACATAGGAAGTTCATTTCTAAAATTTTATAATTTATAATTCATTATGGACGTTCATATGTATGTAGTGCATAAAAAATATACGAACATGTAAATTGTGTGCAAATTTGGAATACGGTTTAAGTACGAAGCAATAATTTTTATTTAAAAATATTTAGATACGAGTATTTAAATAAAGGTTGTTTCTTGAAAAGTACCTTTATTAATAAACTGTTTTATAACGTATACTACATCCTTATCTCTTATTAGTTTGGGTGATGTAATATAAATGAAAACTTAAAATCTGTTTGGGATTTTTAGCTCTAAAAGGAAACCGCTCTCTTCCATTCTCAAAATTTTTTGTTTTAAGTAAAATAAACTTTAATTTTGCTTTATTTGTTTTTGGAAAAACGTAGTAAAATAATGAATATGGAAAAGCGAGAATAGGAAAAGGCAGCCTGGTTTTGTTCTACAAATGTATGAAAAAAAGGAAATTAAAAAAAATTTCTAACGAATTTTAGGTTTTTATTGCATTAAGTAAAAATAAAAATTAAAGTTTTTTTTTTTAATTAAATCTTAAAAATGTGATTTTTGGAAACATAAACAGTGTATTACCTAAACCGTAAGAGATGAGTGTGTAATATTCTATCGAATTAAATGTAATCGACAAAAAATTGAGTTGACCATGTCAACTCTGTGATACCCGTACCAATTTGTTATCCTATGTGCGAACAAATATGCGATAGCTAACTATGGGACAGATTATTATGATTTTAATTTGCCATATTTCCATATTAATTTATGCAAAATTTCAGCACTATTCAATATTTTCTAAGATATGGCCAAACTATTATTGAAGTTGTATGGCAGCTACCAGAAAGAACCAAGCAATTTCAACAAATTTTATCAAACGCATTGACCTACTAATGTATTTGCTTGTTTGAAATTGCAATATCACAACTGTTATAATTTCTGAGATATAGCCAAATAACTTTTGAAGTTGTATGGCACCTACCAGAACGAGCCAAACAATTTGAAAGACTTTTATCAAAACCTTTGTCTCTACTAATATATTTACCCCATTTAACTAGGGTTCTGGAACTTGCTACAATAAATAATTTCTGAAATTTTGGTGAACTTAGCTCAATTGGTTCGTCGGACGTACGGACGGATAGAAAAAGTTAAATCGACTCAGAATTCGACGCTAATCGAAAACATACACTTGAGTCTATATCTCAGGCCATTATTTCTTAGCGTTTAAAACGGTGAGACAAATAAATTGGTAGAACATAAATTTCTTGTCATATTATAGACTATGACGTCACAAAATATGAAGTCATTATCTGAAACCACCTAATCGCTACAAAAGTAGTTTTTTATTTTTTTTTTTTACAGCAGAACCTTTTTAAATAAGTTATTTTTATTATTTATACACATATGCACATTTAATAATTTTATAAAAATTTCACAAAAAATATCACAAGGTACATACATACATATATTGTAGTTTAGTCGAGGTTTAATTGTTGGGTTTAGAACGTTTTAAATAACTTTTTAGAAATTTGCCTATAAATTTTAGTTCGACCGTATATTTTAGTGTCTGTTAAATTTTAATTGGAATCTACTTTCAATAAATAAAAACTTTCGATCTGTTTCTTAAAAGAAGACTTCTTAAACTAAATTATATTCGTTTTAAAAAATGTGCTCAAATCCTTTAGTTTATTCATTCAACTTATTTTAACAAAGTTTTTATCCTATGTAATTTTAGACCAAATATATTTTAAAACGAGCGGAATTTTACGGTATTGGCTTCGTTTTTAAACTTTATTTTGATATTATAATAAATAAGAGTCTATTATAATTGCAAATGAGGCCAAAAACTAAGTTCAATAAATGTATGTTACAATAATATAAGTACTCGTACATATTGTTCTCTTATGCAAAAATACATACATATGTAAACAAATACAAATCTACATGCACAGTTTTATAATGTGTGAGAACATTATTAAAGATTTGTATAAAATTTTCCGAATAGATTTGTGCTTTAATTTGTTTGTAAAATTTATAATACCAAATTTCAGAATTAACTTTTTTTTTAATAACGGTTCTAAGAAATATCAACTGCTTTGAAGAAAGACTATATGATCAAGAATTAATCATGATTGATAATTATAGGCATTAAAATTAATTAGAAGCAAAAAAAGTGGCAATTGTTTGAGTTTGTACTATTAATTAAGACCTTTTAAATAACTAAAATATAAATAGGCTTAGTTTTGGTAGAGGTTTTAGTGTTGAAACTAATTGATAATTAAATAAGCTTATTTGTATTCCATAGATAGGTTTATATTCAAACGCGCATACATGCAACTGTCTGATCGCATGGACTTAAGCATTCAAACTGTCTATAATTTTTTACAAATTGATTGCAATTTTTTGTTAACGTAATGGATTTGAATTGACGCAATAGTTTAGTGGGTCGCTTGTGCGCATCGCTTTACAATCAAGTAGTATTAAGCGAAACTAAAAATTGCATGTTTTCCTGAGTGCTAAGAGATTGGGAAATATTCTGTAAAAAATATTAAACTTTTTGCATATTTAAATATCTGCGTATCTCAGAAATCCATAAGATTCAGCATCCAGTCCGAAACAATAGATTTATTTATTTTAGATTATTTATAAATATGCTCACGCTAAAAAATATAAAAAATTTTTTAAATACGAGTACAATGAGTGAAAACACAATTTTTACAATATTGTTTACATAATTAAAATTGTATTACATTAACAGTTTGTAATTTTTTACAAACTGATTGCAATTTTTATTAAACGCATTCGATTTGAATTGACGCAATAGTTTAGTTGGTTAGATGTGGACGCAATGGGAAGTTGGTTGAAGTTGTATATATCTGAAATCGAGGCCTTAAGCTAATTAAATTGATTTAACTTAAGGTCAAATTTTCTATTTTCACTTAAATGCTACAGTTTAAGTTTACTTATTGTAAATGTTTGCATTGGAAGAATTTTGAAATGTAAATTGCCAATAAAACGAAACCATAAATATCACTCTCGATTTAAAAATTTTCACTTTAGCAACGTTAAGGCATATACAAATGAAAACTGTTTTGTTTTTTAAAAAAGTGTTTTTTTTTTTTTTTAAAGCGATAACTAGTTGTTTTAAAAATCTTTCGAAATGATATTAATTTTCGTCTTTAAAGTAATTTAATGTTATTCTGTTATTTTTATTGTTTATAACTTGTTTATTACAATGAAAATGAATACATGCCATAATCTGCACTCAGCCGAGATTTATCTGATAGATGTAGTATATCAAATTTCATAATATGCAATATTAGCTTGCAAGTGACGAAAGCAGGTTTTTTCGATGCGCGGATTTCGCGGATCGATATTGAATCTTGGAGACCGATTTTCAACAACAAGGAATAGAGCACTTCCTCAAAGCTTTTGAAAATCGATGCTAACAAAATTAAAACAGATTTAATAATTTGTAAGTCACCCATAAAATTAGTACAAAACTGGTTTCTGATATAAATGTGTTTACTAAAATGGTATTTTTTCTTTCTAGTATCTGAAAATTAGAAATAATTTATTTTTCATTGTATTCGATAAGAAAAAGTACAGTTAATATTAATATTATACTCTTGCTATTGGTAAAACAGTACAGTTAATATTAATTAGTAATTTATTAAAAACGTGTATTTATCAAGTGAAGTATCTTGAAACATTTAAAAGTTTAATATTTGAATAATCTCACGAATTAACAGTTGCGGAAAACGAACAACCTAAGGTACGAGACTCAGAAAAATGGAATAACTATCAACTTGACAGTTTCCAGATTGAATATATTAATTTAGATAATCGATTTATTTTTATTCCTATAATGTTAAATATAAAATTAAATTAAATTTTTATATCATCATTAACGCATATTATGGGTAAACAAGAAAACTATACACAGAAATACATACAGATAAATTTATATACATGCATTCATGTACATACATTTTTAGCTTTACTTAGAGGGAAAACCAATTATAAATTATTGACTGTATGAAGCAAAGAATTAGAATAATAAATTGGCAAAAATTATTATTGTTTGATTTTATTTGTACATATTTTTTTTATATTTTAACAGTATTGTAATTTATTTATGCGGCTGTTGAATTTATTTAAAGATTTTATTTTGGAAGATACATAGATAAAATTTGAATAAAAGTCTGGCACATTAAATCATTTGATAATATTATTAAATTTTATATTTCTATACTTGAGTATATTTATATGTATGTATATATTATGTATAATGAGTATGACGCACTTCTATGTACATTTTAGATTAGCTATACTTATGTATAAGGCTATATAGACAAAAATGCGTCAATGAAAGTTTATTATGTAAAACATTAATGAAATTCAAGGCAATTTTCATTATATCTAAAAATTAAAATTTGCTATTGGAAAAGAATAAATTTTCAAATTTGTAATTTAAATGTTTATTTTTTTATTACATATGTATATTGAAATTAAATTTTAAGATTTCTTTATGAAATCTTCTAAGTTGCATTAGACTAAATATAGCGTATGCGTAAGTTATTGTGACGCTTTTAATAAAAATCGATAAATTTTCAATTAACTGCATTTTATAATACGAGTATATGTATGTATATGAATATAATTTGTACATATATATACACGTAACGTATATTTATGTGTAGGTTATTTACTTTCTTGTTAATTTCACATATGTATATATAATTTTCATTTTACAGTTAGTAATTTTGGGAGTTTGGATAACATCAGCGGTTTATTCAACACCAAAGTTTATATTTAGTAAGACTATAACTAATATTCATACAATAAATGGAATTGAAGAAGATATATGCATTTTGGATAGGCAGATGTTTAATTCAGAAATTTTAGATTTAATAAATTTCGGATTTTTGTATGTTATTCCGCTATTAGTTATGACGGTAAATTTATAAAAAAATAAAAATTATTATATTATATTTAAAAATGAAAATTATTTCTCCGTAACAGATACTTTATAGCAGAATTGCAATCGCTTTATGGAAAAGTTCACGTGGTCTTGAAAGGCATATAGCATTACAAAACACATCTACTAGCTCACCATCCTATTCGGGAGCTTATCTTTATCGTAAACAATGTAATATGAAATTTGAAAAACAACAAAGAGTAACACCTGCAGGTGTTAGTGAAAGTCAGGTAAGATATTAAATTGTATTTGCTGATGAAAACAATAATCACAATTATTCATTGTGTTCTATAACCTTTCTTTTAATGACAAAATTCTAAGCATTTATTCAACTTCATTTTTTAGTTAAAAGCAATAGAGAAACGCGTGTTACATTATAATCTTATATTATGTAGAGCACAATGAATAATTAAAATAAATGCGGACTATCTTTTTGTCCTTATTGATTTGTTATATACCTGTTTCTTTCTTTGTTGCCGCCTCGTTAAAATGCTATAATTTTAAAATTAAATTAAAATTCAAAGAAAATCGCAAAATAAAATTCAGCGTAAATGTTGATAATAAAAATCACAAATTTTTTTCAAAAATATTTGTATGTATGTCAAAGTACTTTGTGTTCACATAGATTGATTAAAGAAATCTTAATGATAAAATTGAAATAAAAAACAAAGGAAAATAAAGGAAAAAGCACCAGTAAAGTAGAAGGAACTAACTTTCTATTTTTATATTTTTGTTAAAGAGCACTTTCATTTTAACAGCAACGAGTTAGGAGATTTTCTTACTTGAACAATATTTTAATTAAAAAAATAATTTCACAACAACTTTCTATTTTATTCCAAAAGAGAAAAAATAAAGTTGACCTTGTCAACTCTGTGATACCCGTACCCGTAATTTGTTATCCTATATGTGAATAAATGTGCCATAACTGACTATGGGATAGACTATGACTTTAAGTGCCGTATTACCATATTAATTTATGCAAAATTTCAGTACTGTGTTTTTCAAAATACTGTGTTTGCCAAAGTTGTATGGCAGCTACCAAGGAGCCCAGCAATTTCAACGACTTTTATCAAACATATTGGCCCTACTAATATATTCGCTTGTGTGAAATTTCAATACCATAGCTTTTGTAGTTTGTGAGATATAGCCTAATAACTTTTGAAATTGTATGGCAGGTACCAGAAGAAGCCAAGTAATTTCAACGACTTTTATCAGACACATTGGCCTTACTAATATATTCTTTTGTGTGAAATTTCAATACCACAGCTTTTATATTTTCTGAGATATAGCCAAATGAATTTTTGAAGTTGTATGACAGCTACCCGAACCGGTACCCCGATCATATCCAATTTAAATAGGTTCTGGCACTTACTACAATAAATCATTTGTTAAAATTTAGTGAACTTAGCTCAATTAGTTTTTGAGTTATCGCTGGGATGGACTGACGGACAGACAAAACTAAATCAACTTAGAATTCGACGCTGATCAAAAACATACACTTGAGTCTATATCTCTGACCATCATTTCTTAGCGTTACAAACAGTAAGGCAAATTTAGTATACGCTTCGAATATACGTTATCGTACGGGTATAAAAATAAAAATGGATATTGACCTAGTTAAATAACAATAAAGTTGAACGAATGAAATTTAATTAAAATATTTTACTGACAAACTGTCCGTCCGTCCGTCCCAACGATAACTTGAGCTAAGTTCATAAAACTTTCACTTAATTAATTATAATCGATATACTAGTTCGGGTACCTGCCATATAACTTCAAAAGTTATTTCGCTATATCTCAGAAACTATAAAAGCTATAATATTGAAATTTCGCACAAGCAAATATATTAGCAGGGCCTATGTGTTTGACAAAAGTCGTTGAAATTGCTTGGCTCCTTCTGGTAGCTGCTACGCAACTCCAGAGACCAGAGGCATTATCTCAGAAACTATAAAAGCTGTGGTATTACAATTTCGCATAAGCAAATATATTAGTAGGGGTAATGTGTTTGACAAATGTCGTTGAGCAATTTCGAAAGTTATTTGAGAGTTAAAAAATAAATTCAATATTATGCATATCACTTGCTTTTTGTAGACCCTCATTTTTATTTGATAGACCCCCAATTTTTTTTCAACTTCGTAAACACCTAGCAGGTCTTCATGGACTCCTGGGGGGTTTATAAAGACCACTTTAGGAATCACTAAGAATGAAAAATTTTGCAAACTTTTGTTTCATTTAAAGATTTATGTTGATTTCTTAAATGTTGAAAATCTTATGGTATCAGTGGGTAGAATTATGAGTCTTGTAGAGTAAAGAAAGACTTTTGGGTTTTCGATGTAATATTCTTTAGAAAGGATACCAAATTATACTTGCAAAAAAGTACGTTCAATTAGTGAAAATCATAAAAATGTAGTAGAAATAAGAGCTTCGGGCTCTTAATTGGAACACTTTCTGTTATGAGCTTGAAACTTTCTGTTATAAAGCTCTTAAATTTTTCCAAAAATTTTGGTTCTTATAAGCTTTAAGATTCAATAAGTTTTGCTAAATTTAAATATAAGCACATGCAATATTTCCAAAATTTCCTAAAACTTAATCTTTGTTGAGCTAATATACATAGTTATAGCATAATATTGTTGTATTTGATTGGTATTTTTGTTAAATAATTATAACGGTATTTTTTAAATTGGATTTTTATATTAATATTTTGAAAATAAACTAGGTTGACAGCAAGTGATAGCTTTCAAAGTGCTCAAATGAAGTTATCTTAGAGTCTACGATAATTTTTTTTCTTTCAAAGTAAAGCAAATGTGGTCATCATTGAGCCGGTACTTAAATTATTGAAAAAAATAAGCAAAAAACTATTTAAATAGAAAGAACACAAACTTTTGTAAAAAATTTCTTTTTTATGTCAAACATCAAAATCAATTGTTCAATTGTCAAAACTATGTATTATTAAATCATAAAATTTCTCTAGCTGCTAGACAAGCTAATTATACGAAAACTATGGTATTTTTCAAGCTGCCAAACAACGATATGTGAAAAGCAATAATGTGCTGCAATGTATGAAATAAAAGCTTTCTAACTGTTTGAACCTTAGAGAACTATCAAAATTTCGAATTAAATGGCAGTAATTTTTTTTGCTACTAGTTGTGCTTAAATGCTTTTTCGAAATAGTCGCTTTCTGGAAATGTTGCCTTGAATATCTTAGGTTGATCTAAGAACTGCCAATGAACTTCTGAATTTTCGACCACTTTTTTATATGATATGCGACTACATATTATATAAATAATACACTTTTTCTTAACATGTGTATTATTTATATGATATGTAGTCGCATTTATTTAGTTGAATCATATATAAATATTATTTATAGGTGTCAATGGAAGCTGAAAGAGCTGTGGTTTCTACATGGAAGAAACCAAATAGTTTTCATCAACGTCATGGTACCCAAGTAGCTCAAATCTCAAATTCTACAAATAATGTTCTTCGAGCTAGACGTGGCGTCATTAGAATGCTAATAATTGTTGTTTTAACATTCGCTTTATGCAACCTTCCATATCATGCAAGAAAAATGTGGATATACTGGTAAGCATTCCACCTTTTTAAATATTTTATATATGTACATATTTCTCATAAATATGTTTTAAGAGAGGCATTGTAATCACATTAATGTCTGAGAAATCAAGAATTTGTCAAATATTGGTCAATTTTTGACTAAGATTTCGAATTATGTATTAGCAAATATTGTTCTAAAATTAAAAGTGCCATAGTGATACGATCAGCACACAACCGAACGCAAAATCAATTTTCTGGTTTGGCGAAAGTGTTGCACTATGGATTATGAAAATGCTCTTAAATAAAATTACCTAAAAAATAGAAGTTTGATTCCCAGTACTGGTTCATTTAAGATTATCCGAATTCTCTGAGAAGTTTGTTTGTTAGTTTGGGTAGTAAACAAAATTTGAATATCCAATTTTACGAAATTCCTTAGATAAATAAAAAACATTAAATTGGCCTTTAGTGAAAAATCGGTTTCCGAACTCTGATATTGCGGAAAGATTTACAAGTTAATTTTCTTAACAATCTTAGTATAAATATTAAATTTGAATGAAATTTTTTAACTAGTCCTTTGCATATGGGGAAAAATGTTAATTCGCGCCGTAGTTCATGGAAGTCAGCTTTTTGAAACCTCATTTCTTCAAAAACAAGGTGGTTTGTTATACTGTCAACAAAGTTCTATATAAAATTTTAACTTAGTCTAGATTTTTCCTTGTAAATAACAAAAAGTAAAAAATGTTTGATAGTAAAGGTCCAATTTCCGTGATCTGACCAAAAAGTTGATTAATCCGTGACATAGTCAATTATAAATTTCCATCAAAACTTTGATATTAAGTTTTTTTTACACTTCTTTGCTATGGAGAAACTTGACTTGCAAAATTTGCTGTTATTATATAACATTGCTTATTTTGTGTATTCTGGTCGGGAAAAAACCAAATCCCTTCTTTTTTAAATTGCAAAGTTGTTACTGTGTTATTAATAATCCTTTACACGTGGTGGAATATTATAAGGCAGCAATATTATGTTTATGTATGCGTGTATTATATTATGGGCACGTACAAGGAATGAAAGGTCTAATGAGTTTTATAGTCAATAAGTATTTTTCGTTTCGTCTATAAGAATCTTTATTGTTTTTTCACGTGCTATCGATATTTTATTTCGTCTCGTGGATTTATTTAGAACAAAAAAAGGATAATGAATATATTTAGGATAATGAAAGTATAGGATCGTTTTTTTTTAAATATCCAAAATTTTTCTTAGTCTCAAAACATATTTCAATTTTTGTACATAGAAAAAATCTTTACGGGCAATTAAATTTGAATAAAAATTTTTATAAATGGATACAGTATGGAATAAAATTGAAAATGAGACGCAGCCGTTGAAGACTGCACATTTACATACACGTACAAAAGTATGTTTACAATATATGTACATATATTAAACAACTGTACTGTAGCATGTTTACGCTGATGATTTAAATAGTATGTGTCCTGTTAGCAAATTGAATGATGAAAGGGAAATATTGAAATCTCATGAGAATGCTGTACTCACGATATTTTTCTTCAATAAAAGTTTATTCATCACCTCAGTCGATCCATAAGCCTCATATAAAATTAATTGTGAAATTAAAAAAAAAATTTTTTTGTAAAACTTTCGTTTTTCTATTGGCATTTTGTTACTTAACTTAAAATGATCCTTTTGATTAACTTAAAAAATAAAATGAAATGTTAATTTTAAACAAAATAAACTTTAGAAAAAAATTTCTGTGAGCAAAGGCTTTAAATTTTAAAACGATACAATTCTCTTGTCAATTATATTAAGTGTTTTTTTTCAAAGACTAGACGTAAGCATAAATAAATAGATACTCTAATTTAAATTAGTTTATTTATTTTGTTTCTCCTTTTTTTTTAAAATTTAGATAGGCATCAAAAGTTGTTTTTGAGATGTAGTTTTTCATATTTAAATTTTATTGCGGTCTTTAAGAGATTAGGGCGTTGTTGAAATAATGCAAAAATAAAAAAAAAAAATGAATCCACCTGTTGTTTTTATTAAATTAGTTCCAGATAAGTGGTTCGTTTAAATTATTTTTCATACTATCTTCTTCATTAATAAGTGTATATACATATACATATCTATGTTAAGTGAGTGGAATATGTGCTTATAGAGAATTCCTCTAGAAAATGAAGAACGTGGTGGTATGTACATACTCGTACATTCATTATTTATTTTGAAGATTTTTCTTTGCCATTAAATTTTAAAAAAAGAATGATAAAATAAGAATTAACTAAGAAATAAGAAATTATTGGAAATTAAATTGATGAAATGGGTAAAACTCTCATTTTTACCTACCGCATTTCATACAATAAGGGAGGTCATGTGATGGTAACAAATTTTGCATATCGAATAATCAGTCGGAACGAACTCCTCCATGGTAGGAACGTGTAAATAAACTATTTTTTGTCGATCTGTTGGTCTGTCTGTTTATGTGTGCACGCGTATATCTCAAATTCGGCTGAGCCGATTTTCATGAAACTTTATATGTGAGTTTGTTTTGGCTATTTCACGGAATGATCAACTTTTGGCATATATCAGGCCTCGAGACCTGGACTTTTTGCGGTTCAATTTTAGATTTTTGCCCATATAATAAGAAATAACCAACTAATTTCCATGAAATTTAATATTTAAATTTGGAGTGTTAAAACAATGAGCATATAAAATTTGTGAGACGATCAGGGGTTAGAAAACGAACTAGAGGTCGAATTTACATTTTTTTATCATATCTATTGAACTAATTGATGGAATTTCTTGAAATTTGATATTTGACTTCTGGTTTTTACCAAAAATAGCTGGCGGGCATTTCAGGGAATTAGAGTAGTACAAAGCGAAACTCTACTAAGAGTCAAATTTGCATTTTTCTAGGCATTCTAGCATTAGATCTTAATCTTAGAAGATTTACAGGAAAGAAGTAACTAGACAATACACTAGACTGTTGGTTATTTGCTGACCATATCCGATTTTTTTTTCCTATATTGCAATTTTGTAAAGAGACTATTTTTCTACTTACTTACATACATATTACGATATATGGGTGTCTCTTTTGTTTGTATTCAATTTTTGTTACTGTTAAAATTAATTTTATTTAAGAAAATTTACTCGTTCTTCCTTCAACTTACCTGTTCTAATTTTTTTCACTATTGTTCTAGCTTATACTTTTTTGTTTCCTTAATATTTTTATATCCCAATAAAATACTATAACGGACTATTACTATATATGCGGCTAATTAAACACATTTCCTAATAATTAATTACACATACAAAAATGTATGTTTGTGATATAAATAGATAGCTCTATTAAATAAATGTCTTATTTTAAAGTAGAAAAGTTACAGGAAAAAGATTTTCTTGATGGAGAAAGTTTGGAAAAATTAATTGGAAGTGACTGAATTAAACGATAACACGTCTCAATATTTTTAAAGAAAATTATAATTTTTAATTTATGGATAAACTCATTCAAAAACATATTTTTTGAAGTTACACGTGCGAAGTTTTTTCACACTCAGTCAATTTTGCATCAGGTATGACACTACCAGTAAAACTTGTGAAATTAATTTTGGTTTTACGTTTACGAAAAATGGATTATACAGCAGTTTAACTATGTGCAAATATGGTCAAATTTTTATGCATGTTATAGAATATTCTTTTATTTGATATTCCAGTTAAATATTGAAAATAATTAAATTATTTGGGATAGCCAGGATAGCCATAAGCAGAGAAATAAAGAAATCGAAGAATGGTTTAAACAAAAGCAAACAAGTACATTGAGTGAAAATTCTATATATGTAAAGTACCGCCCAACATAACATTTCCAGCCTATTGTTAATTTTCTACATCAATGTCAATGCAAAAAGTAAAAAATTAGGGCTATGTCAATTTAAATATTAATTGTTAAAAGTTTACTTTATTAAGCGTTTTATATAATTCGGAATGCGTAACATCGAAAAACTTTTTTAACGATACAATGAAGAACATCACACATTACCAAAACTTGCTGTTTTTTGCAATACGGAATTTCGTTCCTATTTTGCCTTTTGGTCTTTTACTTCTATCATGTTCACATTTTTTATCACAGGTTTTACTTTATTAAGATTTTTCATCTAGCCAGACCGTTCTCAGAAAACTCTGTGTATAATAATATTTAACACTAAACTAGAAAACAAAAATTTTATAATCTCCATTTTTTAATTCTCTCACATAATTATAAAAATTAGATTTTTGTGATTCAATTTACTATATAGTTACTAACATTTTATTCAATAACTCATTGCGCTAAAAAATTTTAAAATAAGAGAATCCTGCAAATATATTGTAGTGTATTATAGTGTAATTTAAAAAAAAACGAGTAAAAACGTTTTATATATAAACGAGTTGGTATATACCGACCGCACCTTGGCAATCTGAAATTTAGTTTCGAAATATCTAAAATTAGCTTTCATTGTTATATACCAAGTACTCGACCTGTCAAACCACTATATAGAAACTTCCCGGATATGTCTGACCTATAATTCAACGCACTACTGTCATGTTTCATGTTCTACTACTGTTTCATGAACCTAACTTTACTATTTTTAGAATATTATAAATTTGCTTTTGGAGTTGGGTGGTAGCTATCCGAACCTGTCAAACTATTCTACCAAATCTTTACACAAACTACCTGAACTACTCGAAACAAGTGCAGTTCCAATAAAATTTTTAGAAAACATATAAAATATAATTAGACACATCTTTGCAAAATTTGATATTTATATCTGTATTAGTTTTTGAAATATTTGAAAAAACCTCTTTGAGTTGTATGGCAGCTATCCGAATTCGTTGTACGAATTGTTCCAGCCTTGGTCCTTGGTAAAAAAGAAATAACTTGTGAAAGTTTGGTGTTGATTGCATTATTCGTTTTTGAGTTATCATGCGGTCATACGTTCGAACATATCTAAATCAACGCACAATTTTACGAAGAGCAAGAATATACATAT